GTGTGTGTGTGTGAGTGAGTGTGTGTGTGTGTGTGTGTGTGTGTGTACCCGTGTTTCTATTCTGGTGGGGACTTAAACCTGAATACACACAGACTCATGGGGACTCATGTCACGGTGGGGGACCTAAATTGAGGTCTCCACGGATAAACAAGCTAATAAATCACACAGAAGTTAGTTTTTTGAAAATCTAAAAATGCAGAAAGTTTCCTGTAAGGGGTAGGTTTAGATGTAGGGTTGGTGTAGGGCGATAGAAAATACAGTTTGTACAGTATAAAAACCATTACGCCTATATGTTCCATGAAGATATTTTGTACATTCCCTACCGTAAATATATCAAAACTTAATTTTTGATTAGTAATATGCATTGCTAAGAACTACATTTTAAACAACTTTAAAGATGATTTTCTCAATATTTCGATTTATTTTTGCACCCTCAGATTCCAGATTTTCAAATATTGTCCTATCCTAACAAACCATACATCAATGGAAAGCTTATTTATTCAGCTCTTAGATGATGTATGAATGATGCATGTATGAAATTATGACTGGTTTTGTGCTCCAGGGTCACATTTCAGTAGTTGCAACATGCCAACACACTCCCGTCTAACAGGGAGCATGCTCTGAATGTTCTGAGCAAACCTTCTTCCAGTAACGTTAACAACTTTAATAATGTTCTCAAAACATTTTCAGGAAAACATTTATACATTGTTCATGGAATGTTTTTTCTGAAGCGCTTTAGTTAGATATTCATTTAACGTTTTTTTTTTTTATGTTTCTACTCAAAGAGAATATTCAAAAGTAATATTAACATAATGATTAAACTGATACAATGGAATGTTCCCTTAACATTCATTTAAAAAAAATGTAGTTTTTAAAACATTTAAAATACTAGACATTTAGAACAGTCAGAAATAACGTTTTCATAACGTAATGGGAACGTTAGCAAAACGTTCTCAGAACATATTTTTGTTAACTGGGCTAATACAATATTTCAAAACCAATAAAATGTGATAATTCCAATTATAATACTCCAATAAAACTGATATACTATTGAACATGCTGTTTTGTTTATAAGGTTAAAAATAAATATTATTAATCATTTAAAACAATGAATATTTTACTTATACTTGTACTAGCAGTGAAATAGATAATGAAAAATGAATGATGACATGAGGAACGATCACGAGTCTCACACCTCTGATGTTCTTACAGTGTTGATCAACTCACTGCTGCTTCATCTGAACACTGGGAACACCCTGCACGTGTGTGTGTGTGTGTGTGTGTGTGTGTGTGTGTGTGTGTGTGAGAGAGTGTGTGTGTGTGTGAGTGAGTGAGTGAGTGTGTGTGTGTGCGTGTTTGTGAGTGAGTGAGTGAGTGTGTGTGTGTGTGTGTGTGTGTTTGTCTGAAGGGGACACTCCCTGCACTGCTCAACATCTGGGAGCAATAAAAATCACACACATACAAATACACACACACACACACACACACACACACACACTCGTATTCCTAACATGACGGGGACTCTCCATAGGCGTAATGGTTTTTCTACTGTACAAACTGTATTTTCTATCCTCTTACTCTAACCCTATACCTAAACCTACCCCTCACAGAAAACTACAGGCATTTTGAGATTCTCAAAAAACTTCATTCTGTATGATTTATACGCTTGTTTCCTCATGGGAACCAAAAAATGTCCCTACAAGGTCAAAATTGACTTGTATTATATACTTGTGGGGACATTTGGTCCTCATAACGTAGTGAATACCAGAACACACACACACACTCTCTCTCTCTCTCTCTCTCTCTCTCTCTCTCTCTCTCTCTCTCTCTCACAAACAAACAAACACACACACACACACACACAGGCCGCATTAGCCGAGCTTGATTCATTATGGAATTCATGATCTCCTGCAGTTCATCAGCTGAATAAATCTCTAGGAATGTCTGTGTTCACTGCGCTCTCTGTGCACCTCATTCCTGCACAAATCCAATTTAACAATCATTTACAAAAATGTGACTTCAGCTGAGTGTGAATCACACACACACTTGACTCCATTAACCCTTTACAACCACCAGATCAGGGCCAAGTACATGGACGGTTCATAGAACATTTGATACACAATGGTAATTCAAAGTGCTATCCATGAAAAAAAAATAAATAGTGAATTTTGATATGAATTTTATATTAGTGAATAGTGAATTTTAAAATGCATGCAACGTAAGTATAAAAAATTTAAAAAGAAAACATTTTAAAAAGGCATGCATCATAAGTGTAAAAATAGTCATAAAAAGATGTTTTAAAATGCACACATCATAACCTTAAAAAAGAAAAGAAAACATACGAGAAATGCATGCATCATAAGTATAAAAATAGTCATAAAAACAGAAATAAATTTTAAAATGCATGCAACATAAGTATAAAAAATAAAAAATAAAACGTTTTAAAAAGGCATGCATCATAAGTATAAAAATAGTCATAAATGGACGTTTTAAAATGCATGCATCATAACTTTTAAAAATAAAAAGAAAACATACGGGGGTCTGAATACTTTCCGTACCCACTGTATATCGCAGAAAAACAAAATATCGCAATGTGAGTTTTTCCCAATATCGTGCAGCCCTAACACACACACACACACACACACACTCACTCACAGAGAGACACACACACACACACTCACAGAGACACACACACGCACTCACTCACACACTCAGAGAAACACACACTCACTCAAGAGACACACACACACTCACAGAGAAACACACACACACGCACGCACACACACACTCACACACTCACAGAGAAACACACACACACACACACACACGCACACATGCACACACACACACTCACATTTTCTTATTTTATTTGGATCCACAAGACAAGCAACAAAAACAGAATCCAAATACCTTGGGAAGTCAGTTTGCAAGATGACAGGTACACATGGCTAACATACATTCACAAGTCCTTATATTTATAACTTGAATATATTTATAAATTGAATTCTGGGGACTTTCCATAGACTTCTATTACTTTTATACTGACAAAACGATATATTCTATCCCCTACCCCTTACAGAAAACATGTTTGCATTCTTCCACTTTCAGATAAACATCATTTAATACTTTTTTCCCCCAGGCCAGTCCCCTCAATGTCAAAAATTTCAAGTTTTACTATCCTTGAGGGTCCCCACAATGTAGCATAAACAAGTACACACACACTAACAGGCCTCAACCGGCTTCTAAGAGGAAACAAAATGCCAAAAGAATCGATCTTTAGAACTACAAACTACAGTCGGAGGAGTTATTATTGATGTGTATGTCTGTGGTTTTATAAATCATCACATGCACATCTTTGAAGCGAACACTAGGCGTGTCTCACCTCTCTCACACTGAGCTCCAGTGAAGCCGTAGTTACACAGGCAGCGGTTTGGAGCGACGCATCGGCCTCCGTTCAGACAGCCGGACTCACACACCGCTACAGGAGGAGACAGAGACACGGTTACGGTCTGCCGCGTGTGCATCTGTGTGTGTGCTGCAGGGCTCTGGGAGTCTTACGCTGGCCGCAGTGAGCTCCGGAGTATCCCTTCTGACACAGACACTGGTCCTCCGCACACGACCCGCCGTTCATGCAGCGGATGTTACAGTTCTGGACTGAAGAAGACAAACATCAGATGCGTTATTTACTGAACATACTGCCCACACACACATACACACTAGCTTCTGTTGTTTTAAATGTAATGGAGAATCTAAATGTTCTTGATATTTACATATTCAGCGGTGGCCAAAATGATTAGAACACTAGTATTTTCACCAGTTAAAAAAATGGTTTGAAATCAGTTATTTCTAATTTTTTAATTATTAGTTCATGTTAATTCACAGTGCATTAACTAATGTAAACAAGCAATGCAATGAAGTTAGCCAATCACAGCAGTCAGTGTTGGGGGAAACTTACTTTTAAAAGTAATGCATTACAATATTGCGTTACTCCATGAAAAAGTAATTAATTGCATTAATAACTTTTTAATGGATTACATTACTTTTGCATAAATTTTTGTCACCTGGGCTGGGCTTGCTTATTTATTTTTAATAACAAAAAGTCCAAAAGTTACATTTTTGGCAACTGTAAAAAATTAAAAATTTAATAAGTAAAAAATTACTTATTAAAGAGAAATTAATAAGCCTTCACCTGAAGGAAATGCCTCTGCACTTACTCACGATTTCTCTCAACATGGGGACAAGAGAGCTGTCTGTCAATAAATGGGAAAATAAAGTAACCTGCGTTGCTTATTTTAAATAGTAACTCTGATATGTTCATATAAATTTCAAAAGTAATGCTTTACTTTACTAGTAATCTGATTACAGAGCTTGCGTTACTTGTAATGCGTTACCCCCAACATTTGACAGCAGTGGGTGTTTACTTCCATTTCTGCAAGAGGAAACACACATTGTGTTTTACAGAGAGTGAACATTTTTACTAATATTGGACCTTTTATTGGTGCACAAAACCTAGAGAAACATAATATGAAAATCTGAAATTGCATTTCATGACCCCTTTAATATTAAGGCAATTACAGACCAACACAAACCCTAGAGTAAAATGCACAAAAACATTATTATTGTGTGCATGAATCATTGTTCCTGTTGTGGACGCCCACAAAGGGAGGCTTGAGGAGGCTTGAGCTCACATCTGGGGACGAATGTGTCCCCAAACTACAGCACACACACACACACACACACACACACACACACACTCACACACACACACACACACACG